CCGGTGGAGCCATGACGTCACCGCCGCCGCCGGTCCCGCCCCGGTCCCGGTCCCAGCCCCGGCCATGCCGTCCCGGCCCCGGCCCTGGCCCCGCCGTAGCCCCCGGTGAGTCCGGTCGCTCCGCGGCGAGGGGCAGGCGGGGGGACCGGGGGGTCGGGCCGCTCCTCGGGGGCACCGGAGGCGGGGGGGGCGTCCGTGGCCTCCGGGCACCGGATCGTGCCGTGGAAGGGTGGGGGCCGAGCCCGGGGGAACGGCGGGGGTGGCTCGGTCCGTGGTGTTCCGCGTGTCCCCGGTGCCCCCCGGCGCATTCCCGTTGTGTCCTCGGCTCTCCCCGCTGTCCCCGGTGCATCCTGGGGTGTCACCGCTGTCCTCGGAGCATCCCGGCTGTCTCTGAGGTGTCCCCAGTGCATCCTGGCTGTTCCTGGGGTGTCCCCAGTGCATTCCGGCCGTCCCCAGGGTCACCAGTGCATCCCGACTATCTCTGGTATGTCCCCAGTGTCCCCATTTGCACCCCGGCTGTCCCTGGGGTGTCCCCAGTGTCCCCATTGCACCCCGGCTGTCCCTGGGGTGTCCCCAGTGTCCCCATTGCACCCCGGCTGTCCCTGGGGTGTCCCCAGTGCATCCTGACTCTCCCTGGGGTGTTCCTGGTGTCCCCGTTGCATCCTGACTGTTCCTGGGATGTTCCGACTGCATTCTGACTGTCCCTGAGGTGTCCTCAGTGTCCCCACTGCATCCTGGGTGTCCCTGGGGTGTCCCTCACGGTCTTTCACCCCACTCGCTGGTCCCCGGTGTCCCCAGTACACCCCAGTTGTCCACTGCGTGTGTCTCTGTCGTCCCCACCACATCCTGACTGTTCCCGGTGTCCCCACCGCATCCCTGACTGTCCCTGCGTGTCCCTGGCGAGTCCCAGCTGTCCTCGATGTGTCCCTGCACCCCGAGGCTGTTTCTCTAGCACATCCCACTTGTCCCCGGTGTATCCCGGCTGTCCCCAGGGTGTCCTTGCTATCCCTGCTGCATCCTGGCTGTCCCTGAACTGTCCCCGGTGTGTTCTGGCTGCCCCCAGAACAGCTCAGCAGGGCTGGGGACACTTGAGGATGTCGCCCCATGTCCCTGAACTGTCCCCAGTGTGTCCTTGCTGACTCCAGAGAAGCTCAGCAGGTTTGGGGGCACTCGGGGCTGTCGTCTCCTATTCCTGGGCTCTGATGGGGACCCTGGTGTGGGGCAGGCCAGGGCCTGCCCGTCACAGCCACGCTGGCATGTCCTGGGCTGCGGTTTGGGCACGTGCCTTGTCCCCACGCCGTGTCCCCACAGTGCCCGGGGCAGCGGGGACCAAGTGGCTGGGGGGGCACTGCGGAGGGGACGCGGGCTCTGGGTGGCCCTGGCTGTGCCGGAGCCGTGTCCCCCTCCCCACAGGGACCCTCCCGGTGCCCCCGCGGGGCCCCACGCTGGGGGAGGGGATGGCCTCGCTGTCCATCTGTCGGGGCCCCCCCGGCTGTCCCTGCCGGGGGCTTGGGGGGGCCGCGGGCTGCTCTTCCCCTCCAGACAGAGCCTCACTTCCCCCCGTGACGCAGCCGGAGCCGCCGGCCCCGGGGCCGCTTCCTGCGCGGGGGGCAGGCGAGGGGCCCGCGGGCACCTCAGGGACAATGGGGATCACAGGGACCCGCGTGGGTTCGCCCCACGAGATGCAGGGGACACGGAAGGCATGTGCGAGGTCTGTCCGTGCCCTCTAGACCTTGTCCCTCCATCACCCCCAGACCCTCTCTTTGTCCCCCGCATCACCCTCGGACCCTCCTCTTGTCCCCTCCGATCTGCCTCGTTCTACCGAGCCCCACACTCTCCGCCGCCGTGCCGTGGGGTCCGGGTGAACCGGGGACGCGTGGCCTCGTGTGAACCCCAAAACCCCAAACCTCACCCTCGAGGGGCGGGGGGTGGAGGCCACGGCCAGGGCTCTCGGCTCCGCTCAGGGTCTGCAGTCCCGGGGTCTCCCCGAGGGGTCCCCGGGCTCCGGGCAGTCCCTCCAGAGGGTGCGGGATGCCCTGCGGGGATCCCTCTGTGCTCTGCCCTGTCCCTCCGGCGGTGCCCGGTGCCGCGGGAGGGATTCCCGGTGCTTCCTCTGCCGGGGTGATTGCCGGTGTGCCGGTGCCGCCGCTCCCGGTTCCCCGGGGCTGGCGCTGGCGGAGCCGCGCACCGGGGGAGGCGGTGGCTCCATCCCAGCTCCTCCCCGGCCGCGGGAAGGCGGAGCCGCCGCCGCCGCCTCCCAACAATAGCGCGGCCGGGCCGGGCCGGGATGGAAACGCCGCCGCCGCCGGGACCGGCCCCAGGGCCGCTCTGAGCCGAGACCGGCGGCGCCGCCGGGAGCCCCGGGCGTGAGTACGGGCCGGGGCCGGGGCTCAGCGCAGGGACGCAGTGGCACCGGCGGCGGGGGGAGCCCGAGGTGGAGCGGGGGGTGTGCGGCACTGGGGGGGGCCTGTTTGAACACCGAGGGTCCTGTGCACCGGGGCTGCGCATCCCGGTGCCCTCGGGCCGGGGTCAGCTCCGGCGGTGCTGCTTATCTCGGTACACCGGAGGTGCTGCACAGCCCGGTGCCCCGGGGCTAGTGCCGATTCCGGTCCCAGTGGTCCTGCGCATCCTCGTGACCCTGTGTCGGTGACGGTCCCGGTCTTTGGGGCACGCCGGTGCCAGTCCCAGTGGTGGTGCACGTCCCAGTGCCCCAGGGCTGGTCCTGGTCTCGGTCCCGGGCGTGCTGTGTATCCCGGGGCCGATCAGCTTCCCCTGTTCCACCGGGAAGGAGGTGGGCAGCAAGAGGGGTCCCTGCGACTCTTGGTGCCGGTGGGGTCAGGACTCGGCCCTCGGGGTCTTTGGAGGCTCCATCCTCCTCCTCAGTGCCGTTCTCCCTGGCAGGTGACACCGCGCAGGGACGGGGCTGGGGACATCCGAAGCCAGGTAAGAGAGGGCCGGGCTCTGCAGGGCCTGGGGGTGCCTCAGGCCAGGTACCACCGGCCAGGGGCCGGCAGAGACCCCAGGGTGATGCGTGTCCCCCGCAGCAGTGATGTCGGAGAGCGTGGCCGAGGCGCCGGGAGCCGGGAGCCCAGCAGCGCTGGGCGAGACGGGCACCAGCCATGAGCTGCTGCAGCGCCTGCGGGAGCTGGAGGTATGCAGGAATTTGACCACCAGGACTCAGGAACACTGGGCAGCTGTGGCCGGTGCCACCAGGCAGCCGTGGCCACTGAAGCCATGGCCATGGCCACCGTGCAGCCAGTACCAAGAGCCAGCTGTGGCCAGTGCCATGGAGCCCATAGTCACTGTGGTGATGGGTTGCACTTTCCAGCTTTCCATGGCCCTCGTGTGCCACTGCTCCTGGGGCAGCCTCATCCTGCCATGTGTGGCCCTGAGTCCCACCAGGAGACAGAGGGTCTGCTTGGTGCCACTGTGTCCCCTGAGCTGTCCCTGCTCTGTTCTAGGCAGAGAACTCAGCCCTGGCCCAGGCCAATGAGAACCAGCGGGAGACTTATGAACGCTGCCTGGACGAGGTACTGGAGAACACCCACATGTGTGCACACGTGTGTGCTGGGCCATGAGGCTGTGTGTGCCCTGTGGCCCACCCCAGACCTCCCTTCTCCTCCCCAGGTTGCCAACCATGTGGTGCAGGCACTGCTCAACCAGAAGGTGGGTATCAGGAGGGCAGGAAGGTGTCAGGGGGCTGGGAGGATGCTGAGGGGCTCCGTGGGTCCTGGCTGACCCCCCACACCTCGGCCAGGACCTGCGTGAGGAGTGCATCAAGCTGAAGAAACGTGTCTTCGAGCTGGAGCGGCAGAACCAGATGCTGAGCGACCTGTTCCAGCAGAAGCTGCAGCTCTCCACTGGGTCCCTCCCCCAGGTGTGCAGCGGGGCTGGGGGCTGGCATGGGGCAGAGCCCCCCCAAAGCTTAACCCAGCATCTCTCCTCTCCAGCTGCCACTGCACCCGGTGCCAGTACCCCCAGATGTCCCAGTCACCCCCCAGCCCAGCTCTGCTGAGCAACAGCCCCCTCCGCTGCTCCCTGGCCTCTGTCTGTCCCTGCCCGAGGTGAGTACTGGTGTTCCCAACCCCTTCCTGTCCTAGCGTCCCTCTCTCTGGGCTGTGTCACCCCCTTTCCCGTTATCTTTTCCCAGTGTGTGGTATCACCAGGCCTGTGACACGTGGTTTCCCAGGCCCACGGTGTCCTCTCCTCTTCCCACCATCTGT